AGGCATGTTCTGTGTGTGCAGTTTCTAAGGTGACTCATGCACTTCCTTGTGGCCTGTTTCAGCCTCTTCCTGTTCCTGAGATTCCATGGTCCCACCTATCCATGGACTTTATTGTTGAGCTTCCTAGCTCTGCTGGGTTCACTACTATTCTCATGGTTGTAGACCGATTTTCTAAGATGGCTCACTTCATTCCTCTAAAGAAGTTGCCATCTTCGCAAGATTTGGTCCTAATTTTCATACGTGAAATTGTCCGTTTGCATGGCATCCCCCACAATATTGTGTCTGATAGGGGCTCTCAGTTTGTGTCCAGGTTCTGGAGGGCGTTCAGTAAACAATTGGGGATTGATCTCTCCTTCTCCTCCTCCTACCATCCACAGACCAATGGTACAGCTGAGAGGGCTAACCAGTCATTAGAAGTTTATTTTGCGTTGTTTTATTAATAGCACACAAGACAATTGGTCCGAACTACTCCTGTGGGCCGAGTTCGCTAGAAACAATGCTGTTCATGACTCCTCTGGGCACAGTCCATTTTTTTGTCAATAATGGTAGGCATCCTACGGTTCTCCCTGCGGTATTTTCTGATACTGCCATTCCTGCTCTGGATGAGCGTCTGGCCTCCATTCGGGATACCTGGCTTAAGGTTCAAACTGCTCTAGGGGCTGCTGCTGAACGCTTCAAACATTTTGCTGATAAGCGTAGGAGTGCCAACCCGGTGTACCAAGTGGGGACCGGGTTTGGTTGTCATCTCGCAACATCAAGCTTAAGGTCCCTAGCATGAAGTTTGCCCCCAAATTCCTTGGTCCCTATAGAGTGCTTCGTAGGATCAATCCAGTGTCTTACTCTCTGGCTCTTCCTGCATCTTTAGGGATTCCCAACACTTTTCATGTGTCCTTACTTAAACCTCTTGTCTGCAATAGATATACTGTTCCTTGTGTTCCTCCACCTCCGGTGGTGGTGGGTGGTCAGGAAGAGTATGAGGTATCTTCTATCGTGGATTCTAGGTTTTCTCGGGGCACTTTACAGTACTTGGTTGTTTGGAAAGGTTACGTCCTGCTGATCGTTCTTGGGTTTCGGCTCCTGACCTGCATGCGGGCCGTAAGATCCGCGCTTTTCACGCTAAATTTCCTCTCAAGCCTGGTCCTGTCCGCCCGGTGGGCGTTCTTCAGGTGTGGGGTAATGTCACATATTCATCCGCTTATAGAAATGTGGTTAATGACATTTACTGTCCACACAGGAAAAGTTGTGCCGAGCAGCAACCTAATCCACAGAAGGGTTAATGCTGAGCAGTAATTGTGCAAATGAAACCTGGTGTCATGCATTCATCCGCTTAGAGAAAAGTGATTAATGACATTTACTGTCCACACAGGAAAAGTTGTGCCGAGCAGCAACCTAATCCACAGAAGGGTTAATGCTGAGCAGCAATTATGCAAATGAAACCTGGTAACTGACTTTGGGGTCAAAGGCCGGTTACAGCCTATCAGAACTAAAGGAGGGGTATTTAGGCCCAGTTCTAAGCCTGCTCAGTGCCCTGTCGTGGTTTCCTTGTGGTTGTCTGAGAGCGCGTTCCTGTTTATAGTTTTCTACCTGGTTTTTGACTTTGGCTTTGTTTATTGTCTTCTCTATATTCTGGTATCCTGACTCCTGGCTTTCCTCATCGCTGTGTCCCTTTCTGTGTTCCCTGACCTCGGCTAGTATTTTTGACTATTCTTTGTACGTTAAATCCGGCCATTCTAAGGACCGGTAATACGTTACTTATTTGTCATCCGTGCTGTACAGTTCTATGTGCTGGATCAAACAGTAATCCTGACAGCGCCCACCTAAGCAAGTGGGTCGCGCCTGCGTGACGTCATGACGCTAACGTCCAATTACCCGCTCGTCAGTGCGGGTCGAGTCTTGATGACGTCACAATGTTTTTCAAGCTGCTTTGCAGCGGTCAGAATGAATCAAAGTCCCACTGGCATAATTTACAACTTCCTGTGCCAGTATATTTATGTGTGAGACAAAAATACTTTATACTTAGAATGAATATTTCCTATAACCATATAGTGTGAAAGCAAATAACTATATACAAATATACAAAACTAGTATTCACATGTATTTACAATAAACAACATTGGAGTATTTGAATAATTACTGTATTAACCAATAATGTTCTTCCTGCATTAACATATTAAGATAAGTCTGGCCATATTACTGTGACGAGACCAATCTCGCCACATTGCATTGGAGAAGCCTGGTTGCTCGCCTGCTGCCTCTGGACTATGGCCCCCTTTTAAAAGACTTTATTTCGCCTGGAGAAAAGCTGTATTTGTGTGGTCTGAGCGCCATTCGCTTAATAATGTGCGCTCAGACCTGAGCTATCTGGGGATATGTTACATGTCTGTGTTTTATGTAATAAATGTTACTTTATGTATTTTAAAGTATAATACTGGTTTTGTATCCCCACATGTGTAATGGAGTTTTGCCTTTGTCTTGGGAGATAATTTAATTACTTCCCAATTATCTCCCAGGGCAGAGGAGAGGAAGCCAGGATGCATCGTGGGAATATACTGGGACTGTGTGTCCTATTTGTCTACTTGTCTGTCTTTTGTCACAGTCTCCCATTTGGTCCCCTAGGGGAGTGTCCACCAGGTGGGAGACCTGCATAAATACTGGGCAGGTAGCCCTCATTAAACAGTTCACTGCTTGACCCTCAACACGGAGCCTTGTCTCGTCTTTGGGGGGGATTTACTGTATGCTGCTAAGGACTGATTGCCAGGAGTGTAAGCCGCTTGGGAGCTTTTCCTGTTCGTCTGCTAGCAGCTATTCGTATGGTTCCTGTTCGTTTATTTGGAGTGCTACCTTATTCCCTTGTATGCCGTTCGGGAGTTTGGAGCATTCACTTATTGGCGGTTCGTGAGTTTTGGTGATTATACAGTAGCTGTGCCTGACTCTGAAAGGGGGATTATCGTCTAAGCGGGTTTTTTCCCCTTTTGTGCAAAACGGTCCGTTACAATTGGTGGCAAGCGGCGGGATCGTTCCCACAGACAACAGGACAGCTACAGGCGACACCATTCCGTGGATTTACAATTTGAGGGCAACGCATGTCTGAGTACAGCGACCCTGACAGCAACAGCATGGAACCAGCAGTGGAGTACAGATACTCTGTACAGGAATTTGACCGTATGATGTGGTTGCGGCTGAACTTCTACGGGCCTAATCCAGCTGAGAAATCCGTGAAGTTCGTGAGGAGTCTAGTATTCAAGACTCTGCTGTACCGGGCAGAGGGTGACGGTCTGCTGCCACGGTGGGTGGACCTCCAAAGGCAGCTACAGTTGCAGGGCCAGAGAGAGCCCAGTCTCCTCTCCCCAGCAGCAGTGTGATATGCCGGGAATTGTGAGCCCAGTCTCCATTCCCCAGCGGCAGTGTGATATGCAGGGAATTGGGAGCCCAGTCTCCATTCCCCAGCTGCAGTGTGATATGCAGGGAATTGGGAGCCCAGTCTACATTCCCCAGCGGCAGTGTGATATGCAGGGAATTGGGAGCCCAGTCTCCATTCCCCAGCGGCAGTGTGATATGCCGGGAATTGGGAGCCCAGTCTCCATTCCCCAGCGGCAGTGTAAAGTGCAGGGAGAGGAGAGCAGCGTCCTCCCTCCCCAGCGGCAGGCTGAGTTACAGGGGGCAGAGGTAGTTGTTCCTGCCCCCCAGCAGCAGAGTGATATGCCGGGAAGGCAGTGTGAAGTGCAGGGAGAGGAGAGCAGCGTCCTCCCTCCCCAGTGGCAGGCTGAGTTACAGGGGGCAGAGGTAGTTGTTCCTGACCCCCAGCAGCAGAGTGATATGCCGGGAAGGCAGTGTGAAGTGCAGGGAGAGGAGAGCAGCGTCCTCCCTCCCCAGCGGCAGGCTGAGTTACAGGGGGCAGAGGTAGTTGTTCCTGCCCCCCAGCAGCAGCGTGATTTTTTGGGAATTGGGAGCCCAGTCTCCATTCCCCAGCGGCCGAGTGATGTGCCGGGAATTGGGAGCCCAGTCTCCATTCCCCAGCGGGAGATACAGCAGGGAATTGGGAGCCCAGTCTCCATTCCCCAGCGGCAGAGTGTCCTACCGGGAATAGAGAGCCCAGTCTCCTTTCCCCAGCAGCAGGACACTGTATTGGGAGCGGAGACAGTCGGTCTCCCTCCACAGAGGATGAAAGTATGTATGGGAGAGGAGCTTGCTACCACCTCTCCCCAGCGGCGGATCATTAATGGGCAGGGAATAGAGAGCTCAGTCTCCTTTCCCCAGCGGCAGAGTGTTCTATCGGGAGAGGAGCCTGTTACCCCCTCTCCCCAGCGACAGCTTAGAGTATCCAAAGGGGAGACAGTCGGTCTCCCCCTCCGGCAGCAGAGCTGTGCAACAAAAGGGGAGACAGTCGGTCTCCAGCAGCAGAGCGGTGTATCTAAAGGGGAGACAGTCAGTCTCCAGCAGCAGAGCAGTGTAGTTAAAGGGGAGACAGTCGGTCTCCCCCTCCAACAACCAGGCTTCAACCAGGCTACCCTCCCAGTAGCACTGGCAACAGGGCAGAGTGCCGCTGGTCTCTGCCCACGCAGCAACCCACCCAGTCAGCGTACCCGTACCCAGCACAGCCGTGGTGAGGCACCTGGACATGGACAAGCTTCTCCCTTACCCAGGTGTAGTAACCATTTATTGTGGGTGGGCTGTGCTGTTGATTATGTTTTGTGGGTGGGCTGCTGGACTAACAAGGGCACTGACCGGCAGGAGGTCAGATACCCTGTTAGTCTGTTTGGGAAAGGGGAGAGATGTGACGAGACCAATCTCGCCACATTGCATTGGAGAAGCCTGGTTGCTCGCCTGCTGCCTTTGGACTATGGCCCCCTGTTAAAAGACATCTTTTTTACCTGCAGAAAAGCTTAATTCGTGCTTTTCTGCCTGGAGTTCGGTAGATTTGTTTGAATGTGTTATACCCCAGATAGGAATCCCATGGAGCCCATTCGTATGAAACTGACTGTAAAGACTTTGGCTCCATGTCGATTAAACTGTATTCGTGTGGTCTGAGCGCCATTCGCTTAATAATGTGCGCTTGGACCTGAGCTATCTGGGGATATGTTACATGTCTGTGTTTTGTGTTATAAATGTGACTTTATGTATTTTAAAGTGTTTTGTGTCTTTTTGCAACCATGTGCTTAATGGAGTCTTGTGTCTGTCCTGGGAGATAATTGAATTACTTATCTCCAGGATAGAAGACTCTGAAACTGGTTTGGGCCAGAAAGCTATGCTTCATTTAGTCACAAAGGACTTTCCCTTAACTTTTGAACCCCTGGTCTGATTCGTGCCATTTTTTAATATGTTGTTCCCCTGAATGGATTGATTGCGAATATGTAATTTTATGTGAATGTGATGTATGGTTTTAGAGTTATGAAAGTTGGGTAGAAAGTATGTTTTAACTGTATGTATAATTGAGTTTCCTCTCAGGATAAGGGGAAGGAATATGTGGGATGTAACTGTGATGTGATTGGTTGTTTTATACCTCCCTGTGGGCGGTCCTGTATTTGCAAGACTGTAATAAAAACCAGGCTGGGTGTGCCAGCACCTCAGACCACTGCTTGACCTTCAACACGGAGCCTTGTCTCGTTCTTGGGGGGATTCACTGTATGCTGTTAGAGACTGATTGCCAGGAGTGTAAGCTTATTGTCTGCTTTTCCTGTTCGTCTGCTAGCAGCTATTTGGGAGGTTCCAGTTCGGGAGTTGGAGTGCTATTTTGTATCCAGTTCGGGAGTTTGGTGTTCTGCAGTAGCTGTGCATGTATCTCTGGAAAGGGGGCCGATCGCCTAAACGGTTTTTACCCCTTGTGTGCAAAACGGTCCGTTACAACCATCTTGTGGGAATTCTCCTGAAAGGCACATATGGCTAGCTTGGAGGGGGAGTAAGAATAAAATATAATATCCAGCTGCTAACCAGTAAGCTGTCACAAGCTATTAATCTTTTTTTTTTTGCTATATCCAATAGCAAAAATACCCGATTACGTTATTAAGCTAGTAATTTTATGTCTGAATGTGTGGATGATGACCAAAACAAATGAACCAAATATAAAATAAAAATAAAGAAAATGCATAAAAAGAGCCAACACAGGACGAAAATTTCAGGAATTGCTTTGGAATTTTCACCCATAGGTCATAATGACTCTTATAATAAAACAACCTTTGTGGGTCAAAATGTTGTCTTTTTCATTTTGTAACTCAACAACTATTGAGCTTTAATCCAGGGGACGGTAACATTGTACATTCCAGATGTTGTGGATTGAATCTCAGATAATGCTCTTACAGCTATAAAGCTGGCAAAGCATCAGGGGAGATGTACCCCTGCAAAATAAGAAGGCCTCAAAATTATTAAGAAAGACCCAACATGATTGTCCTACATCAAATAACATGACAAGATTTTCATTAGGAAAGGGTAAAAAATACAAAGTAAAAATAAGGACTAGCGCTTTTTTCACAACAGATTATGCAAACGTATATAGAGAAGTATCATATAAATTAGCAGCTCAACATTCTTGTGACTCCTTCGATGTCACCAGTAATTCCAAACAAAAGAAAATAGGAAAAAGTCCCTTAGGGAATGTAGCGCTTATAAAATAGGTAAACAAATTATCACCTTTTAGTATTCCATTGGAAGATAGGTTCTTATTTGGATGTCGAATAAGCAAGGATCTATAAAAGATAACCAAACATAGTATAGATGGTATACAACTATAAAATTATGGATGTCGAATAAGCAAGTATCTTCGTGAAGTGTTCCATATTTTTTATATATCCAAAGCAGGGGTGGGTAGCCTATACAGACCCAGAAGCGATTCAAACCAGAGCTGGGTTCATAGCTCTCTGTTTGTGAATGAAAAATACCATATATATATACATAATTTTATAGTTGTATACCATCTATACTATGTTTGGTAATCTTCTATAGATACTTGCTTATTCGACATCCAAATAAGAACCTATCTTCCAATGGAATACTAAAAGGTGATAATTTGTTTACCTATTTTATAAGCGCTACATGCTCTAAAGATTTTCATTAACCAAGGAAAAGTTAAAGTAGCCCTTATTTAACAATGAGTTAGCGCACAATCTTTTTTGAAATCTCTCCAATTGGAAAGTACAGAAAAATAAGAAATTATAATTATAACCTATTAACCTTATAGATGTAATTTATACAGAATGTGTGCTCACACAAAAATACTTTTTCGTTAAATATAAACAACTTCCAGCACAGAGAGTCCCAGAAATGAATCCCAGAAATGAGCAGTCCAAATCTCAAAAGATAACCACTTTTTTTCTTTTTCCAGCACTCCAAGGGTTAAGTTAGCTCTCCCCTGATCCTGTCACACTTTGGTTATAATGACTTGTATCCACTTTGTATATAACCCACAATATAGAGATTAATTACTCCGGAGATCTTTCAGGGATTACTCAGCTTTATTTCCGTTTTAAAAATAAATAAAATATAAAAATATAAAAGATATATAGCTCAAGCAGTAAATATCACTGTATTTATCCAGCTCACTGTTCTTGAGGTAGTTACAGTTTTTGTGCAGATCCACCGTTCACCAATGTTGCTGCTTGTTTCTCCTCTCCCCTGAACGCTGGATATGTAAAAATCGGCACCACGTAACTTACTAGTTTCGCCCTGGGTGGGCTTTCTCAACCTTGTTTGTTTTGAGATGAATGGTAATATAGAACTAGGTTGGAACCATTGAATGCATCTACTTTTTCCTTTAGTGCTGCATGCTTTTGGATATTATAGATATAGAATGGGTTAGGTAGCCCCATCATCTTGACTCCTAGTAAAACACCAGATGAAGCACAAATGACTAGGACTCATATCAGGACCTTCATTCCCAAATACAAGTAAATAAAAAAAAAATCCACCCTGTCAGTTGTCGTGTTGGCTCATGTCATTGAAATGGTCTGGGTGGAGTGTCTCTGTTCTCTTAACCCTGAAATGTAAAACATTGTAGTTTTAGAGAAACTGCAATGTTTGCATTGCAATTTTAAGACTGCCTCTAGTGGCTATCTACCAGAAAGCCCATAGAGCCGCTCCCTGCAGTTTCATAGAATTTGCCTCTGTGAAATGATGCAAGACATCTTGATGCTTTGCATGAGGAAATCCAGTGTGTTGAAAAGCCCCAAAGAAAAGCATTGAATCGGCTGATGTTGGTGGAGGAGGAGGGGACAAAGGGTTCATATAGTGTTAGGAATACAGCTTTGTATTCCTATAAGTATATACACATATTATATGATCCCTTTATCTCTAGTGATGGTCTTCTATAACCTTTGCAAATACAAAAAAAGCAACAAGAAAAACAACAAACTTGTAAAATAGATTTCATAATTATAATATAATAATCAAGGCATCCTGCACAAAAATATGATCTGAAAGAAAATCAAAACCAATACCATTTAGAGAGAGAATTAGAAATAAATAAAAAGTAATCCCCAGCAGTTCATAAAATTAGCACTTGTTTTGCAACAATAGTTAAATATCCCTCTAAATGCAATAAACTGAATATGTAAATGCAGGCTCATTAATGAAATGTCAACTATTGTTGAATGTGGAGAGTCAAAAATGGGTCGCAAGAGAATACTGAGAACGGGCAGCAGCTGAAATAGCCTGCCCTTCGGTAGGTCCCCGCTCAGTTCGCAAGCTGATTTTTGCTGATCTTGTGCCACTACAGAGAGAACATATCTGAAGCATATCAGACTGGTCCCACCCATACGGGCAGTCCAGATCCGAAACGCCAGCAAGTTCTCTCTGCACGAGAGACACAGCAACCCCAGACGATTGTTTCAGCCTTGTTAGGCATCATCAGTGAGGCATAGCTGATATCTCCATAGGCACCGTGAGCAAGGGGTCCACGTCTGGATTATCCCTTTAAACTTGTGGAGAGTCAAAAATGGGTCACAAGAGAATACTGAGAATGGGCAGCAGCTGAAATAGCCTACCCATCGGTCGGTCCCCGCTCAGTTCTCAAGCTGATTTTAACTCATCTTGTGCCACTACAGAGAGAACATATCTGAAGCATATCAGACTGGTCCCACCCATACGGGCAGTCCAGATCCGAAATGCCAGCAAGTTCTCTCTGCACGAGAAAACTTTATTGTTGAATGTGGTTAATATAATAAAATTTGATCAATTTGGTTGACAATATGGGCTTCAGTGAAAATCCCCTTGGAGACTATTGAAAGACAATGATCAAGCATTCAAAACAATTACAGAGTAATGTGTTTAGTCGGATTCCTTTTAGCAATGTGCTTACACATATGGTTACCATACTCACATGTGCTGAGTGATTTTGCAGTTTTATGAGTTTTGGTATTGGGAATGATAATGTGATTACATCAATTCCTCAATGACAGACAATGTAAGGACTAGGATGTTTAGAGGTCCATTTTTGTTAAGCCAAGACAATTAGGCCCAGGTACTCCAAATAATGAATTTGCACTGTGTTGATGGAAGGATAGCTTTTAAGCCATCATGCCATAAAAGTTAT